CCACCAGAACACCCTACTACAAATGTCAATGAATGTGTTCTTTTACTACTTGACTCCACTTTGCAAATACCAGGTAGACAGCCAGAGGCTATCACTGCTTCACGGATTAACTGGGTGATAGTAAAAGCAGCTTTCCATTAATGCACTGTACTGTGTACTTTTGGCCCTTCTCAAAGTTCTAGTCAAGTTTCTTGGCTTAAGAATGAATTTCTATTCCTTTAGTTCTTCTTCATATTTATTCAAGTACTTTCTTTATATCCTACATTCATGCTCTATATTGTTTTGTTGTTTGCCAGAGTTGATTCCGATTCATATTGACCTTTTTGAAAGAGTTCCAGGTCTTCACTCACTGGCTTCGACGTTTCTTTGCATTTCAGTTGTGATTGCTTTTTCCAGTAATCTTTTGCATGCTGAATAAGATTATGTTTTTCAGTAGCTGGAGGTATAATTACCCCTTGTGTTGCCAAGTACTTAAATATTATTTCTCGGTGGACTTTTCTACGCTTCAAAAGTTCTTCAACATCTTGACTGTAAGCTAATATTGCACGAATAGCATCTTGGCGGTCCTCGGGCTGCACCAGTCGGTTGGTGACAGTGTCGCATAGGGACATGATCTCATTGTTGTCCAAAAGGCCGAGCAGATTACGACAGCCCTCTATCTCTGGCTGACTGAGGCCCGACATCTTAAACCCCAAGAAGGGGATAGAGAGTGACGCCAATAGCGTCACCCCTACTCATTACGGCGACACACTCAGGAAGTGCCTTTTTTTTGCAATGCAGTTTCTTACCACTAGGTCATACGCTACTTATATTAAAAGTATGTTAATTTCTTTTCTTTACTGTAAAACCACTCTTGAAACCATAAAATTCCCTGATAGTCACATGAATAACAAGTAGTACATACAATTATTTATAAGACTGTGTGATCTGATCTAGTTATAGAATCCACTACTTGTTTTCTTCAGTCTATCTGGGAAAAACAATAGTTAGATAGTTTTATACAAGTAGTGCAGGAAATATACAGTGGTTTTGCAGATTACACAACCCTCTCACTCGTTACTTTCCTATGCGCATTGCACACATCTGTGCATTATTACCTTTGGTTTGTTAGATGTGAAAAATACAACGAGTAAGCTATGTACAATTATGTCAAAATGTCACATTCTATACGCATGGAAAGTTCAACATAAAAAGAAAATGTGCTTCCTATTTATTATTCTTTCATAATTACAATTGCTACAACAATCACCTGAATCTTGAAATTGAAGATACAAGTGCAAATTACATTCAACATATTGGCTACAAAACAAGACTCCAGGAATTGAAGGAATACCTAATGGAATATTTCAGCAATTTTCAATTTTTAGAAAATTTTCAATTTTGAGAAAGTTGAAAGCACTCAAAAGTCTATGTCAGTGAATTTCCCCCTTTTATTTCACATAACCCTCCCTTCTCTTTGCCATCATATATCAATGAATTTGGAAGACACTTGACCTACTTTCTAGAAAAAAGATCCTTATACGTACCCACT